CCTCCAGCTTTTTATTGTGTTAAGGGTCAACCCCAGTGCCTTGTAAGAGCTCTATTACTGAGCCACCTCTCCCAGCCATGAGGTCCCTTCTAGTTAAAAGAATTCAAAGAGGTCACATTGTATCTGCACGTGTCTGGGAACTTCCAGAAGACAGGAGTGCCTTGTAAGCAGCAGGAAGGGCAAGATAAGGAGCCCTCAGGCAACACCTCTAGCCTGAAGTCAGAACCCATGCTCAGCTTCCTTGGTGACGTGGAATTCAGGAGGGCTGGCCCTAGGGAGGCTCCAGCCAGGCCCAGAGTGAGGGACATACCAACTTGATGAGGCAGTTGTGTGAATTCAGATCCCGGTGGATGATGCACATGGAGTGCAAATAGGCCTAGAACAGAAACACCAGTCAAAGGCCAGTAAACCAACCACACTCTGATTCTGGAAACTGCTCTATTCCCAGGGCAACCCTGCCTAGCTTCAGAACCTAACCTGAACAGTGGACTCAAGCCCCCGCCACATCTACTTCTTGTTCCAACACCAATTGGAAGACAAAGGCTGCCTGGGTTTCCTCTCCCTCCCTGCTGCCATCTTCTGCCCATCTTTTTGTTCACCAGTCACTAACAAAGCTGGTCTAAGACCTCATTGCTCTCTCTTTAAGTCCTCAATTCCATTGGGCCATGGGGTCATGGCCCTTGCAGCTCCCTATCACCTCTACCCATTTTACTTAGATCAAGGCCATCTGAAATGAATGCCTTCAGATGTAAGCTCCCTCCTTTCCCCATACCTTGAATCTCTTGACTTCAGCCATTTTGGATCCTTTCCTGCCTGTGATAAAGAAGAAGTGACCTCCTTCCTGGTCTAACTAGCTCTATGTTCATGACACCTTTTCCCTGAGACTCTACTCTCCTTACTCGGACCTATACTTTAACTTCACCCATTCTCCCTCCCCCATACTGGGGGTGGAAACCAGTGCTTCAGACATGCTAGGCAAGTGCTCTCCCATTGAGTCATATCCCCATCCCATCCTCTTCTCCCTCTTCTATCTAAATGTTTTTAAACAAGTTCCCGTTAGCTATTTTCCCTCTCCAGGGCTCCACCTTGGTTCTTATCAACTCTTTTTTTCCTTCTCTTCCCTTGCAAATGCAAAAAGAGCCACTGCTCCTTCTCCAGGCCCCTGCAATGCTGCTTCCAGCCTCTAGCCTCCTGGAACTGTTCACACCTGGGGCAACACACTCAAAACTGGAGCTCATGATCTGGTTGCCTGCCTTGCTCAAAGGCTGTAGGCACTTTTTCCATGTTCCCTGCTCCTAAGACCTTTGTATATCTGTTTTTTTCCTTCCAGCCTCCTCAGTGTCAGCCCTTCTCAAAGCCATCTTTCTACTCATTACATGGATGCCTTTTCTGTCCCACAACTCCAGCTGCTCCTTTTCTGCAGATGACTAGGTGACCAACAGCCCATCCCTAACCTGCTTCCTCAAAGAAATAGTTTCCTACCAGGAGATGGTGGAAGGTTCTGCTAGCAGATCAGTTTCAGGAGGCACCAATGCAAGGTCTTCCCAATCCCAGATTTTTTTCTCTGACCATCACTGCGACATCAGGTATCTCAAGTTATCCTGACTCTTTTCCCAACTCCTGTTCTCTCACTGCCAAACAGTTTCTCCATTTAGACTCCATCATGTCCCTCTGGTGGTACTTTAATTTATTATTTAATTTATTTTTGGTACCTTAATTTAGAAATCTGAAATGCTTTACTGTCCCTCTCTAACAATCCCTTCTGAGATTCTCCAATTCTATCCCAATCTACGGACCATTCCAGACTCACCTTGGAAAAGATGAGGCTCTGATAATGAAACATTACTTAAAAAGTGCTTAAAAATCTATTTGTCTTGGGCTGGGGTTGTGGCTCAGAGGCACAGTGCCCGGCTAGCATGTGTGAGGCACTGGGTTTGATCCTCAGTACCACATAAAAATAAAATAAAGATATTGTGTCCACCTATAACTAAAAAATAAATATTTTACAAAAATCTATTTATCTTTTGAAACATAGGAACTCGAATCTACTGTTTCAACCTAATACTGCCTTCATGGACCTCATGTAAAGACCAGTGGTTAAAATCTCAGATGTGGATGGGTCAGACTAACCAGCCCAGGACTCCAGCCCTGTCTCTAAAAATTTAGCCTCAGCTTCATATCTGGAAATGGAGGGTTGTGAAGAATAAACATGTTCACATGTGTTAATCCCTCAGCTTAGTGCCTGGCACATACGAAGCACTTCGAACTTGCCAACTGTAAAGACTGCTAAGATTGGATCATTAATTCCTGGGAATATACACAGTTTCTTCCTTTATCCTCCCAGGTTTTTGCTGCTGTCATCACCTAAATCTTTGGGCTTCTCTGCTAATGTGCACTTTTATCTAATTCTAGCCCATCCTTCAGAACTCATTGGGAACTCATTTCTTCCTTCTGATTTCCTAGGCAATGAGGTCTCTGCTTGCTTCAAGGGCTCTCAGCACTTGAACACCTCTGTGATAGGAAGACCAGGCCATCTTGTGTTATGGTTTGCCTCTGTAGTTTACCTGGTCCATTCCCCATTTATCTTTAGAGATTTGGAATCCTTTGAGAAAAGGGTTGTAGGCTGAGAACAGTTGGCCAGAAGCAATTTCACTGGCCCTGAGAGAGAAACTTAACAGCTCCTTAATGACCCAGCCTACACAATATGTACAGGATGGGGTATCTGTCTTCGAGAGCAGTCCAGAATCTTCACACTTCTCCCTACTCCTGTGATGGCAGAGTTTTAGATTGGACTCACCATTCCGGAGGCGATGCCTTTTGCAAATCTGACCTTCTGCTGCCAGGGGAATGGATCCTGCAGGGTAAGGGAATGCCAGTCAGAGGCTGTGGCCACAAGTGGTGCAGGCCCCATGGGTCAGCATGGTATGCATATGCCAGTGCAGCCTCCCTGTCTGTGCTTGTTTCCCCCAACATGATCTTTGGGGACACAGGTGTCACTCTGAACAGCCTGCCAAGGCTCTTGGTGACTATGGGGCAGTATGCTCACCACACTGCGCAGAAAATCCTTCAGTGTACCCCCCTCAATGTATTCCGTCAGCAGGTTCAGCTTCTTGTCCTTGTACAGCACACCAATGAACTTGAGCACGTTGGGGTGGTCTAGGCTGCGCATCACTTTCACCTGGGTGAGGGTAGGAGAAGGCCAGAGGGTAGATGGCTAACTTTTCACCAAGTCCTCTTCCCTCCACCTGCCAGGGAGTCAGCTCAGCAAGCATGAACTGCCTCTCCTGCCTCCCATCTTTTCTTTTTTTTTTTTTAAATATTTATTTTTTTTAGGTGTAGATGGACACAACACAATGCCTTTATTTTTATGTGGTGCTGAGGATTGAACCCAGTCCCACCTGTGTTAGGCGAGTGCTCTATTGTTGAGCCACAATCCCAGCCCTTCTCCTATCTTATATGATGTGGCCAGGCACTAGGATCAGGGAGAGGGAAGAACACCACTATGTGGATGGGGATGGCCTTAAAGGCTTGGCCCTTGGGATCTTGCCTTTCTAGGAACTTTGCTGGTGAATTGGAGTGGAAGGGCCCAAGAATGAAACAAAGGCCTGGGGAGTAGCACCTAGAATACAGGCGTTCCCAACTGAAGCTCCTCCATGGAGGAATGTGGGAGGGATGGTAAAAACTATAGATTATCAAGGGGTGTCAGTTTTCTGGGAGTCCTATTCTAGGCGCCCTATAGGGTGTTCAGTTGGTGACAGTAGCACCAAGTGGGGAATTAAATTGGTCTGTTTTTTTAATCCATCATTCTCATAGTCTGAGAGTTTCTCTGAACCACATCTTGTTTGTTATCACATTCCTTGTACCCAGCTTGTTTATTTTTTTTAGTACCGGGGCTTGAACCTAGGGGTGGGGGTAGGGGCTTTAACACCGAGCTATATCCCCAGTCCTTTCTTTTCTTTTTTTTTTAGTTGATGATGGACACAATATGTTCATATTATTTATTTATTTTTATGTGGTGCTGAGGATCGAACCAGGGACTAGCACATGCGAGGCAAGCGCTCTACCACTGAGCCATAACTCCAGCCCCCCTTTCTTTTTTCTTTTTTTTTAAATTTTGACAGGATCTTGCTAAGTTGCCAGAGGCCAGCTCAAACTTGCAATCCTCCTGCCTCAGTCTGAGTCATTGGGATTACAGGCATGTGCCATGATGCTTGGCTTTGTGCTGTTTTTAAATAAGTTTTCATTGAACAAATAAATTATGCTATAATTTAGAAGGGATAGAGATATTCCTCTAGTGCTGCTCAGTCTTTAAGACAGTGATTCCAAACTAAGTTTTCTCTTGAAACCACTAACCCTCTTCCAATGGTGACACTAAAATCCCACCCCCTACTCCACTTTCTTTCTCTCTCCCTCCCTCCCTCCCCCAAGCCTTTCTTTTTTGGTACCAGGGATTGAACTCAGGGGCACTTAACCTCTGAGCTACATCCCCCAGTGCCCCCCCCCTGCTTTTTTTTTTGGTACTGGACATTGAACTCAGGGGTACTCGGCCACTGAGCCCCATCCCCAGCCCTATTTTGTATTTTATTTAGAGATAGCATCTCACTGAATTGCTTAGTCTTGCTGTGGCTGAGGCTGGCTTTGAACTCACGATTCTTCTGTCTCAGCCTCCCGAGCCACTGGGATTACAGGTGTGAGCCACCATTCCTGGCTCTTTCTTTTTTAAAAAGAGAGGGTCTCACTACAGTGCTGAGGTTGGCCCTGAACTCTGGGTTCAAGGAATCCTCCTGCCTAGTGGTTTAGACTACAGGCACAGTGGCAGCTCCAACCCTATTTTCTTACCTCAGTCAGGAAAGTCTTCTGTGTCTCCTCATCACATCGAATTAACTCCTTCATGACCATCACTTTGCCTGTGGCTTTGTGTGTCACCTACAGAGAGGATGACTATTAATTATGCAGAAACCAGAGGCAGTTCTGGAGAACTGTTTGAGGAAATCTACAGCTGTGGTATAGCTCAATGATAGAGTGCTTGCCTGGCATGCGCAAGGCCCTGGGTTCAATCCCCAGTACCACAAAAAAAACAAAAACTAAGCAACTGGCTGTCCCATCCCTTGGAAGATACACTGAGCCACATAAGACCAACAGAGTCCACATGTGGAGGACACAGCATGGGACAACAGGGGACTCTGAGGGAAGTACACCCTCTTCCCTGGAGAGCTGGGCATGCGTGGAGGAGAGGCAAGAATCCAGAGAAGGAAAGTAGGGAAGGAGGCAGGAGGGGACACTGCCAAGCCAAGCAGGGGCTCTGGTCATCTGGTACTGGAGTGAGTCACTTGGGTGAACAGAAGTCTGGTGGGGCAGGAGGGTCAGTGCCACAGACATGCACCAAGGAACCGGGTGGGTGGGGTGAACTCTCCAGCCCCGCTGCCCCACAAGCTGAGATACATGGCTTACCTGACCCCCCCTCCCAGCTTTCAGCAGAGGAGGAGGAGAGAAAGAGAAAGAAGTTAGTCCCTGGGCTGTTCACCAGGTAAACAGGGTGGCAGGAGCCATTTCCCCATCTCTTCCTTGTAGCATGACCAGCACTGGGGCCTGTGGGTACTTTATACACCCCCACTGACAGAAAAGTTCATCCCAACCCTGGTCTCCTGAGCTACAAGCTCACTATAGAAGTGACATTGCCTTTAGATGGCTAGGGCAGGGTGGGGCAGGGCAACCCTTATATAATCACCTGCAGCCAAGGAGGCCTGATGTCCTGCACAGTGTACAGTGTGGACTCCCCAAAAGAAGGTGAGAGAGGTGGGGGGCAGAAAAATGCAGAAGCTGCTGTCTATGCTCACCTTTATGGCCTGCCCAAAGAAGCCCTTTCCCAGGACCTCTCCATGGATCAGGTCACATGGTCGGAAGATCTGCTGTGAGTAGCTGCTAGAACAGCGGAGGGATTCTGAGCGGCTGATGTCTCGGCTGAGCAGCAGGGGCTCCTTGGGGGAGCTTGGGCCAGGGGACTTAGAGATGCTATTACTGCGCCTGGGGATGAGGAAAAATGAGGGTAGAAGAGATAGTCCTCAGAGACCAGTCAGAATACCCTCAAGGTAGAAACCTCAGGTAAATCCATTTGTTCCAATATATGTAGTTCAGATATTATTACTGGGGAGCAGGGGCTCTTATATCGACAGATGCTACTTTTGAGTTGCAGACACCAGAAGTTTATTTAAGCATAATAAATCCAAAATGGGAAATATGGATGCTAGGGATGTAATTCAGTGGTAGAATAGCTGTCTAGCATGCATGAGGCTCTGGATTCAATTCCCAAAACTCTGTGTGTGTGTGTGTGTGTGTGTGGGTCAGAGAAAGACACAGAGTGGGAGGGGAAAAAAAAGGTGGTAGGGGGAACTCTGAGTACTTCCCACCTGGAAGAATTAACTAGATTATATTAATTTATAATGCCCAACATATTATAGACTACCTCCCATATCTGCTTGATTCAAGTTACTAATCAGGTTATAGTGACAGCATATTGCCATTCAAAATTATCTGAAAGCAGTAATGATTGATGACTGTTACTTTGATATACTGAAGAAAGGACAAGGAGGCTGAAGATCACAGCACTAGGTGAACAGAAACCCTGCAAACTTCTTTCTGGGGTATACTTCTGCTTTACTGGGATACCCAGAGAGGACTGAGGTGGGTGGCTCTTGGCTTGTCCTGCCACACGGGCTTGCTTGTTCTTGCTCTTTTGTTTTGCTTCCCACTGAACATGCCCACAAGAGCACATAATGGACCTGCTGGATCTTCTTTCCTTCGTTCCCTCTATCCTGTATGATGGCCCTCAAGGTATCTAAGCTGATCTCCAGCCCCCTATATCTTCCCTTTTCCAGGTCATGCATTTATAGACCTTCTCTGCCTTTGGTGCTCTGCCTCTACTAACTCCATCATGCTGACTAATGCCAAGTCAGCCAGGAGTGATGGGAACAACCTGTGGGAAGAATCCTCTGTTTCCAACAGAGGCCAGCCGAGAGGGCCCTGACTAACTCTGCCTGTTTGACCAGGGGCTAAAGAACTGGATTTCTAAAGATCCTAATAATATTTCACATGTACTGAGTACTGACCCTAGGCCAACCAACACTGTACAAATCTGTCCCTTTCCACATTTAATCCTAATATAAATGTGAGATAACTGACTCCTCTTCCATAAGCCTCCCACTTGGGGCTTGCACATAGGTGATTGCTCCCTTCCACAGATGTGGCAGACTCTGTGGTATGGGGTGATTGGTTCCTCAAACTAAAACAACTTGACTTCACCTCTTGCTTTGCTTTATCATTTTTAAAGTCCTAATATATACTATATTTTTTATTTTTCTTTCTTTCTTTCTTTTTTTTTTTGGCAGTTCTGAGGATTGAACATAGAGTCCTCTACCATTGACTATACCCCCATCTCTTTTTACTTTATTTTTGAGACAAGGTATCACTAAGTTGCCCAGTTTGGCTTATAACTTGTGATCCTCCTGCCTCAGCCTCCTGAGTCACTGGTATTATAGGCATGAATTACTGTGCCTGGCTCATTATATATACTTATTCAATCCTACCTGTGCCTATACTCCCAGTTCTGGGCTCCATACTTCCTCCATGTTGCCCTTTAGTGTTTAACATCACTACTTCTTTTCTAGCTCAGGAATTCAGTGGAGATAGCCTAACTTTTGTTTCTAAGAAAACCTGGCAAGCAGCTGGGTCTGCATAGACCTTGGCTATAAAAAGCGATTCCCATAGGGTAGGTGGGTCAATATAAGCCCTCATAGCCTGTTCCTGGCCAGATGGTTTCCTTCTAATGTTGCTGGACTTCAAAAGTCAGCTCAGCTTCGGAGGTTGAAACACAGGACAGAATAGAGCTGGGGTGGGAGGTGGCACCTCAGGGAGCGTCTCCTCAGTGTCCCCTCCAGATTGTCCTTGGTGTCCAGAGTGCTTAGGGTGTGAGAATGTCCATCATTCTGTATGTGGGGAGAAAGCCGGGCATCTAACCGCAGCTGGTCCAGGCGCTGGGAGACGGGGTCATGTTCAATCAACAGCTGAAGTGTCTGGCTTGTTTGGCTAATTGCATCTTCCACCTATGGCCAAGAGCAGTGTAAGGTTGGCTCCCACAGGCTGCCCCATCCCAGGCTATCCACTGCCATCCCAGATGAGCCAAGCATTGTGGCCAATGCTCCATTTGGCTAATGGTGGTCTCCAGATACCAGCAGCCTCAGAGTAACCTCTGCCTGGCATTCTGGCAGCCCTGTCATCTGCTGCCCTAAGAACCTGCTAGTGACAAAGGAGGTCACTAGTGGCCACAGGCTCAGTGCCAAGACAAAGAAATGGCTACAGCCTAATCATCTGAGAGGGTCTGTTCCATGTCCCACCCCCACAAGACAGATAAGACATGCTGTACCTCCTCCACTTGGAGTGTGCGGACAGGGGTGCCATTGATCTCCAGGATGCGGTCCCCAGGGTGGATGGCATTGCGGTTGTTGGGACTGATGTGCATCCGGTTGACCCTAAGCCAGACAGGGGTTGAAGCAGGATGAAGATATCCTAAAAACTCACCAGACTAATTATGCTTGAGCAGAGAAGGTTCACTAGACCCCAGGCCCCACTGATCCACGTGGCCCAGGCACCCCTCCCCCCAACAGAAAGGTAACATCCTTTGCAGGATGTTCCACCTCAGTGAAGAGCACCGGCACTCACCTAGTGGTCTAAACCAGAAACTTGGACATCACCTTCCTCTCTGGAGTTCCCTCATTCCCTCCCTCCCTCCCCCCACCCCCTGCCCATTTCTGAGAATCCTGCCTTCTCTCCATCACCATAGTTACCAACACATCTTACCTGGATCACTGCAACAGCCTCCTAACTGGTCTCTATGTCTCTAGACTCTTTCCTTCTCCCATGTAACCTCCATACCAGTGATCCTTCTAAAAGGTCAACCTGGTCACTTCACCTTGTTGATTAAATCCCTCAATGAACCTGCTCGATCTTCATAATCCAGGCTTTCTAGTCTCTCTTTTGTTTTTTGTGTATGCTTTTTGGTATACCCCCAGCTCTTTATTTTTAAATTTGAGACAGAGTCTGGATAAGTTGCTGAGGCTGGCTTTGAACTTTGATCCTCCTGCCTCAACCTTCTGAGTTGCTGGGATTACAGGTGTCCTCCATGCTTAATAGTCTTTTCTCTGGTTACTGTCCATCAACAACAGACAAAACCACAAACTCCTGATCTGTAGAGATGCTTATCTTCCTCTGCCCTGAATACAATTCCCTCCCCTCTTTTTTATTTGAAGTACTGGGGATTGAAACCAGGGGCAGTCTATTCCTAAACTATATCCCATACCTTTTTAAAATTTTTGGGACAGGGTCTTATGTTGCCAAGGTTGGCCTCAAACTTCTGATCCTCCTAAGCCTCTGAAGACACTGGGATTTCAGAGTGCACTATCATATCTGGCTCCCCCTCTTTTTTTTTTTCTAATGAGACTGAAAAGCAAAGCTTACTTCCTCCTGATTTCGTCAACCCTAATACTTCTCACCTATGTTGTAAGCTCTGACTTCAGGCCCAACATATACAAGCAATATTTACAGGGTAATGGCACTGGTGTCTGATTACTGGTATTGCATGAACATGACCCTTATCTTTTCCTTGGCCTGGACCTAGGATGGAGTCTTATCCTCTTCGGGACACGGATCTCATTTTTTTTCCTTTCTTCATTCATTCATTTACTCAAATAACAAAACAATAATAAAAGAATGCCTGCCAATGCTAGTCACTATTCCAGTCCCTGGGCATGTAGTATTGAATAAGACAAATCAATTTCCTCTGGATGTTACATTCTAGTCAGGAGAATAGATGATAATCAAACTAATATACATTAATTGAGTTAGATAATTTTGAAGAACAAACATGATCTAAAATCTGACACCTGAAAATGAGAGACTCTGGCTCTAAGCATCTGATAGGAAGCAGTCTAGGTTAAAAAGAACTCTAAGTGCCAAGGGCCAGGTGTGCTTACTATATAGTAAGCTCCAGGAAAAGATGGGAGATGAGGATTAAGGGAGC